GACTATTTGTTCAAAGTATAATATTTTATTTCTTACAATAGTAATTTTTCTATAAACAGAGGGTATGTGTAGTTTGAAAAAGGATATTCAATTTTTTGGTTATTTTTATAATATGAAATTAATGTTTCATAATTTAAGTTATGAAAATAAAATGAAACATTTGTTGGGAGGAGAAATGATTTAGGAACTCTTCTGTAAAGGCTGAAACAATTGAATTTATTTCAGTATAAATTGGAAATCTAGCTTATATTGAAATGAAGTTGCATTTCTTTGCTATCCTTTTTAAAAAATTTATCTTTAAGTAGTTGTACAAAGGGGCTTTAATTCTAAAATTTCATTTTCAAGCCATAGCCTGAGAGAGTACTGGGGAGGTTGCACAGAAATGCCTTTGGTGGCTGAAATAAGCCAGCTTGGTGTCAGAGATATTGCCATCAATATTCCCAGTGAGTTTGGAACTCTGTCTTTGCATTTTAATCAGTCCTTTTAGTAATTTCCATGTTTATACAAGCCACCTGAAAATCTCCTTAAAATGCCATTCTGATTCAGTAGATCTGAGATGGGACCTGAGATCCTACAATTCTCACAAGCTCCTAGGTAATGGCAATGTTGATACCCTAGGGATACAATTCAAATTGTGACATTTTTTTGCATCCATGACCATTTGTAACCTGAGGTGGTTGGTGTTCATTTACTTTGGCTACTTAAAACTGCTCACTTATTTGACTGAGGAAAATATTTTTTTTGAGAAATTGAAGGGGTTGCTACTGGGGGAAATTTGTTAATATTACATACATTGATCATGAGAAATTTTATATGTCATTGATACCAGGTTGTTCAGAGACTGAAGGAGGTAAGAACTTTTGAAGTGGTAGCCAAGTTCCTGCTGCCTAACTGAAACTAAGATAAGATCAGATTCGTTAGGAAACAATTATCAAAACAGTCTCATTTATTTTGACTAAGTCAGAAAGAATGATGGTAAGGAGAGATTCATTGGATGTTTTGTAGAGACCATTGCTTTAGAATGTGGGAGATGACTTACATTTTGCTTCTGTCATCACTAAGGTTTTAAATAATGGATTTCTACATCATCACCCTTAATGCTACTGAATTATTTCCATTAGTCATTTCTCCTAGGGAAAATGGAACTAAGAACCTGTGCTGTTTTTCTGTGTCCATCTCTATTTTGTTATGTGGTTTTAAGAAAGCCTCTTTAAGCCTGTTTGAAGTTCCCATGGTGAAACATGGAAATCAAATCTTTTGCCTTGTTCCCTGTAGAGTAACATAAATCAAGTAGATTTCAGTTGCTTCAAAATCAAAATTTTAACAGTATAATGTGATATATTTATATTTATTCATCATTTTATATGCAGGCCCATAGCAAGCTATTTTACATACAATCTAAATAGTCTGACACATGTTTGTAACAAAATGAAACATTTCTAGTCCTCATGTCAGCCGTTAAATTGACCTTTTTTCATTGTTACCAATCAAATGTACCTGATTACAGTACTTAAAGTTTTTAGTTCTTTATGTAATAAACACCAATGCATATGGATTGAATGTATAGTAATTTAATTCACATATTTAAAGACTTAATTCTGAAGGAACGTAAGTGCAAATAAGGCCAATGTCTTAAGCACGCACGCCCTTTTGAATTCTTTAGCATCATCTTTTTTTTTTTAAGCTTAAACACATTGATTTTAAACAGAGTTTGGCATGTGTCTTAACCATAGATATCTATTGATCCAAACTTATGTTCAAGAACAGCAACTGCAAAATGTATTAAATATAAAATCACAGTGATTTATATGCAAATTTAAAATTTGAAATAAGTTACTGTAAAATTTACTTTTGTAAGAAGAGGTTAAGTAAATGGTGAAAAAAATAGTCATTTTACTATTCATCAAGGAAATGCAAATTAAAACCATATAAGCTATTACCTTACTCTAGTAAGAATAAGTGTAATCAAAAGTACAAAAAATTAAAAGTGCTGGTAAATATGCAGAGTAAAGGGAACTCTTGCACACCACATACCATTGGTGAGAATGTAACTTCTCAAAAATGCAGAATGACCATATTTTCCAGCAATCCCACTAGTATTTTTGATCTAAAAGAAATAAAATCAATGTGTTGAAGAGACATTTGGATTCTCAGATTCATTTCAGTGCTATTAATCATAGCCAAGATGGAAACAACCTAAGTATCCATCAACTGATGAACAGACAAAGCAAATGTCTCTCTCTCTCTCTCTCACACACACACACACACACACACCATGGCAAAATATTAAGTTGTAAAGATTATGAAAATTCATCATTTGTGGGGTTACCAGAGGCCAAGGAGTGTAGGAATGACATAGGGAAGAGGAGGAGAGGCTGCTTATTAGATATTTATCTATGCTTCAATAAGAGCAAGACATTCTGGTGTCCGACTTCACAGTTGGGTAGTAGATAGCAATAATGTACCACAGATTTTAAAGAGCTAGAAGTTTGAAAGATTCTACCACAGGAAATGACAAATATTTAGGAGATAGTCTTATTTAATCTGGTCTAAACACTACACAATTCATACTCATATCAAAATATCATATTACCCTATTAGTATTTCCTTATATTTTAACTAGAGAGAAAATAAATAAAATAAAATAAATAAATTTCATTAATAAAATGTTTTAGAAATTTATTAGGAAAATTAGGATTACCATGTATCCTTAAATATAATAAATCAATGTAAATTTCAGTGTGTAGCTCAGGAGCTGGAGTGTTACAATCACATTTTTGCTGGTTGACCTTTGGTCTGGCTTTGGTTACTTCTCAAAGTCTGTTTCTTTAGCTATAGAATAAATTCCACAATATAAAGCTCAAAGGATTCTGAAGAGCCCAAAGGTGTTAATGCATGTATAATGGACTAAATTGTGTTCTCTCAAAATTCCTATGTTTAAATTCTTACCCTATTGTATTTGTATTTGGAGATAGGATCTTTAGGAGGCAATTAAACCCTCTAGAGTTCTTACAGATAATCTCTGATGGTTGGATTGGTGACTGTATAAGAAGACAAGACCACATGGATAATGAAGAGGCCAGTTTATATACAAGCCAAGAGAAGAGGCTTCAGAATGAAACCAGTGCTGCTGATTCCCTGATTTTGAACTTCCAGCCTCTAGAACTATAAGAAATAACTTTCTGTTGTTTAAGTGACCCAGACAATAGTATGGCAGCACAACAGACAATCATAGCATATAAAACTCCCAGGATATAATAGAAATCAATTATACATATAGGCAACATACATATAAACTGAGTAATGATGAGAATGCCTATTCTTTCTCTAAACAACTGCTTTCAAGTACATTATCAATATGCTATCATCAAAAATTTTTATTTTTAACAAATATATATAATTGTCTTTATTTCTGGAAAGCAATGCACTATTTAAATACATCTGCAATGTGTGATAATTAGATCAGGGTAGTGGGCATGTCCATCAACTCAGACATTTATCATTTCTTTGTGTTGAGAACATTTTGAACCTTGCCCAATAGTTTCTTTGAAATACACAATACAATTTCTGTCAGTGATAGTTACCCTACTGTGCTATAGGACATTAGGATTTAATCCTCCCTTCCATCCATGCCCTGTAACAATTAACCATCCTCTCCCCCTACCACCTACAACACTCTCTAGTCCTTGGTAACCACTATTTTCCTTTATGCCTTCTTGAGGTCAATTTTTTAGCTTCTATGTGTAAGTGAGAATGTATAGTTTTTGTCTTTCTGAGTCTCACACACTTCATTTACAAAGTTTTGTAGTCTCAGACTGGGAAGTTGGCTCAGTGGTAGAGTGCTTGCCTTGCATGCATGAGGTCCTGGGTTCAATTCCTCAGCACCACATAAGCAGACAAAAGCCAGAAGTGGAGCTGTGGCTCCAGTGGTAGAGTGCTAGCCTTGAGCTAAAGAGCTGAGGGACAGTGCCCGGGCCCAGAGTTCAGCCCCCATGTCCGACCAAAAAAAAAAAGTTTTGTAGTCTCATCCACATTGCTGAAAATAGCAGAATTTCATTCTTTTTGTTACTGGATAATATCACATGGAACAATACTCCTTTTAAATTCAAATTACTGTTACTACTGTATTATAATATATTATAAACTCATATAGTATTACTCTATTATTACACATTCTAATGATAATGTGACAAGAATAGTTTTGTAGTATTATGTATTATGTTATTATAATATTGGTTTTTATGATTAATATTATCCATATTACTATCAATTTAAGGGGGAATGGTAAGTGCTTTATACCAGTGAAATGTTTTTGCCCTACAATGCTATATGAACCAGGTGCTGGTGGCTCATGTCTGTGATCGTAGCTACTGAGGAGGCTGAGAACTAAGGATTGTGGTTCAAAGCCAGCCCAGACAGGAAAGTCTGTGAGAACTCATCTCCAATTAACAACCAGGAAACTGGAAGTGGTGCTGTGGCTCAAAGTATTTACAGTGCTAGTCTTGAGGAAGAGAGCTTAGGGATAGCTCCCAAGCCCTGAGTTCAAGCCCCATGGCCTACAAAAAAAAAAAACAAAAACAAAAAACAAAAAAAAACAAAAAACAAAAAAAAACAAATGAAAAACCTAAGTTGCTATATGTACTTAAAAATAAGAATTTGGTTTGTTAAAACTAATAATTCATGATTATTGTTAATCATAACAAGTCTAAGTTTCTTTTTCTTTAGTCTGTCATCTAGACAAATCCTTGGGAGTGCTAATTGCCACATTTAGAAAGCTGAAAAGATAAAGAAGATTTAGTTGAAACTGTGATTAGGGTGTTATAATATGCAAGCAAATTAAAGTCACTGACTTTGTTTTCTGTGAATGCAGTAGAACTATGTGCATCCTAGTGTTTGTAATATTTATAATAGACTAGTAAGCTCAAAGTTAAAGCTCAGAGTTCGAGTACCTACTACACTATTTTGGAATTTTTCAGTGATAAGAATTTATTTTTTCACAGGTATCAAGGTTATATTTATACATATAGAGTGTCCCAGACAGAAACTGGATCTTGGAGTGCTGAGGTACAGCTATTTTGTTTATATTTGTTTCTGTGGATATCAGGGAAGTGTTTGAAATTTAGATAGGTTTCATAAAAGAAAAAATCATATCACACACTAACAAAATATCCGCTATATTTAAATCCATACAGTTCCTTTCCAAAATTGTTCATGGATCATTAAGAAGCCTTTAGGGAATTTTGGTTCCAGTTGTAGCCAGCCAGTATTATTAGAGTGTTATGAATCTGGGGAAAGATAAACAAGTTGAAGGATTGTTTCCAATTTTTAGTTCCTATAGGAAAGTGTAAAAAAAGCAGGTAAAATCATTAAATCAGACTTAATTACTGAATGATACTGTTATGAGTATTGGTGTTGTTGTATCTTAAAAATAGCATTCTTATTTGTAAGAGTCCATAATATCTTTGAGGAGATGAAATGTGAAATTCTTTGTTGTCAATTTCAAGTTTCCAACTCTGCTGCCCTCCTCTTCCTCAACACATCTATAATTTAAGGCAGGCTACTTTTTAAAACATTTACTTGGATTTAGTTAAAAAAATTATCTTTAAGTAGTTGTATAACAATGTTTCAAAAAAAAAAAACCAAAAAAACCCCCAATGTTTCAGTGCTACATTTTCATTTGAGTACAATGCATCTTCTTTTCTAATCTAAGTTCTTTTTAATCAAACAATATTATTGAAAGGAATTATACAACCTACTATTGATCAGAGGGTAAGGAGTTAACATTTGTATGGGGCAAGTAAATTAACTTTCAAAGAAAGAAAACTTTCAAACAAAAGCTTTTGTGTAAGAAGAAAGAGAGGCAAATGTGATACAAGCATGCTTTCTTTAAATTCTAAACAATAAAATAAACTATGAACATTTCAGCAACTAAAGAGAAAGATATCCCTAATCCCCATACATTTGCAGAGGCCATTTAATTAGTCTATATGTTATTCTAGTCTTTTGGAAAATCAGTACAGACTATCTTGGTCAGTATCACCCCTGCCAACATTCTCTACCACATTATCTATCCTAAACCCACCCAACCCCTCAAGTTACTTGATTCCATTTTCACCTATATACACTGAGAATTGCAGGTTGTTTTTTGGTGATCTAATTTCTTCACTTGAAAAATGAAGCCAAAAACAGTCCTTTACTCACAGGACTTAGAGGGGAGTAAATGAGATAATGCATGTAAAGAAACTCTTAGCTACAGGGCCTGGCACAAAAACGCACATTCCTGAAAACAACTGAGCAGTGTGATTGCATAAAGTCAGCTCACTGCTAAGTTACTTACAAGAATTTGAAAAAGGGAGGTTTTCTCAAATAATTGGGAATTTCCCAAGTAATTGCTGCTGTGTGAGGAGTCAGGAACCCCAATGGAGTTATGTTGGAAATATTTTGGATATTTTGAATAGAGAAATGGAGATGTAGTATTTTGAAGCTATTGTTTGCTAAATCTTGATGCTTTTCTACCTTGGATTGCCTGTAGGGTTGCAGGAGAGGAGGAGGTAAGTGGCTTCCATCTGAGCAAGTTTCTTTTACTTTGCTTATAAACCAGGACTCTAAGGTTTCTTTAGAACAAAGAATTCTTGAGGTTTTGGAAACTTTTGAAAATCACTGTACCATTCCAAGAAGAGCCTGAGGAGTGAAATCTAATCCCATGGACCAGGGTCATATGCTATATCATACTTTACATTGAAGTCTCTACAACTGAAATTTTCAACCTCAAGTGCTTTCTCTGCTTTCTAACTGTTTAAAAGTAGATCTTTTATAATGAAAATACTTCATTATTAGCTTGTGGTAAATGTTAGTATCAACCTCTATTAGTAACTTAATGTATGCTTTTAAACACTCATGTCTAGACTCAAAAATTTAAAGTAACTCTAAGCTTTAAAATACATCAGTAATCTGAAAAGTACAAATTTGAGATTGTACATATTTAGAACTACTAAGGTGGGACTTATTTTCAAGTGTATTACCTTAACTTTGATTTTGAGACAAAAAATCAAAGTGTGCTAAGTTATCCTGAAATTTATTGGATAATTCAGACTAGCTTCAAATTAAAATCATTTTACTTCAGCCTCCTAAGTGCTGCAATTACAGATATGTACCACTATGCATTCTCACTTTACATCAAAATAATTAACATTACAATAAGAAGTAATGAAAAAGCAGTTCCATTTCTAATAAAAAACTATCCTTATTAATTTTTAAATTTCTTTGTAGCACCACAGATATGATTAATTGAATACAAAACTAAACTTAATTTATCAAGATTATGTACGATATATGTGATTTGACCAGAAATAGTCTTCACTAGAGAGTGCTCTTTAGTTGTGGCAGAATATTCTTTATAGAAAAGATTTTTGGTTCGTAGGACTTAACAACCTTAAGAGTCGCTTTTCTCCACTTCAAGTACATTATATACAAATGATTACATACTTGTGATCATGCTAAAGAAGAAGGCACTTATTGAATATAAATGTCCCCCATTGACCCTGTTTATATAATAATATTCCAGTTATTTACACGAAGAGAGTGAAAGATTGATGTGAGTGCAACACAATTCAAAAATCGTTCAATTTTTGAAATGTATATTGCAATTTTTCCTGTTGACTAAATTTGCCTTTTCAGTGATATTTTGCTAAGGTGAATATGAAACTAGTGTGTATTCTCAGAGCTCATACCACCTGCCTGGGAAAAATGTCTCTAGAGCATATTGAAGACCAGCTGTGATGCAAAACATGTTTCCATGGATAACTAAGCTGTGACAGTACGGGAAATATACAAATTGGAGCAATTACTGATTTCAGGAATAGGTTGGGAGCGCTCAGTGGTACAATTCTTGTGGTAAATGTGTTTTCAAATTTGGGTATATGATAGATATTTATGCTGCTTTTTGAAACAATGTTTTAGTTTTCCACCATTGCAGGAAACAAAACCCTCCATGGCAGTAGCATTATATTCTCTAGTGAAAAGACTGTGTTAGAAATCTTGGATAAAATCTGAGATTTGTTTTAGAGAATGAGATGAAATTAAATCTTAGATCCACTTAAATATAAAATACAAACATCGTGTAATTTTAGTTTTAGATAGACTTTTAGGTTAAACTATGGCCTATTTGGTGAACTTAGCGCATGTGACTCAAGCTAAAATTTTTGATAAGTTGTTAATTTAGAGAATTCTACATATGGTTAACTATTATTAATTAACTTACAAATTATCAGCTGATTTTGATCTCCTTAGGGTTTTTTTTTTTTTTTTTTGTAGTAGTACTGGAATTTAAACTCAGGGCCTTCTAGGTTGTGACTCTACCACTGGAAACACGCTTCCAACCTTGTCTTTTGCTGGTTATTTTGTAGATGGAATCTAGTGAACTGTTCTGCCTGGGTTAGCTTTAAACTTCCACCCTCTAGATCTCAGCCTCTTTAGTGTGAGGATTACAAGCTTGAACCACTGGTACCTGGCTTAATTTTATGTTTCTATAGGTTTTTGATGCTCAGTAGTTCTGTAGCTACTGAACAATCACTATTCTTGATTTTGTAGGAAAGCACTGATTGGTCTGTCATTTGCTAAGGAAATCCTGCATCCTAAATTCATATTGGTTCTATACATAGAGTGCTAGCATTCTTCTCTTGTTAGCATGGATAATCAAGTGTTAACTGCATGTATGTCTCCATAAAAATGATGCTTTTGTTGAAAATGGCTTTAAAAGCAGTTTAACAAAATATGTCTTAAAATGATTGCAACTTGCCGGCGTTGGTAGCTCACGCTTGTAATCCTAGCTATTTAGGAGGCTGAGATCTGAGGATCACAGTTCAAAGCCAGCTCGAGCAGGAAACTCTGTGAGACTCTCATCTCCAATGAACCACTCAGAAAACTGGAAGTGGTGCTGTGGCTCAAGTGGTAGAGTGCTCACCTTGAGCTGAAGAGCTAAGGAATAGTGCCCAGGCCCAGAATTCAAGTCCCATGGCTGACAAAAAAAAATGTTTGCAACTTGAGGAGTCTTAGTAGGTGATTCCAGCTACAATAGAGCCTTCTTGGTCTAATTGTTATCTGAAATGAATACAAAGGCAATTCTATTGCTGTTGGCTGCTTGTGTGATCTTAGGCTAGCTGATTACTTTCATTTTTCATATCTGTCAAATGATAGTAGTCCAATCAGCCAACACTACCTATCTATACCATAATAGTTGGGGCAACAGATGGACAAGTGCTTTGAAAATAAAAAAAAATGCCCTCAGAAAGACATAAGGAGTTATTCTTGTGACTCATCTTTGAAATTTGGAGATTCTCTCTTGGAGAGAATGACCATATGCCCGGTGCCAGTGGCTCATACCTATCATTCTAGCCACTCAAGAGGTTGAGAACTGAGATCATCATTCACAATCAGACCAGGCAAAAAAGTCTGTGAGACTCCAATATTCAGTTAACCACCAAAAAGCCATACAAGGAGCTGCGGCTCAAGTGGTAGAGGGTTAACCTTAAGTAAAAAAGCTTGAGTATAGTTACAGGCCTTGAAATCAAGCTCCAGTACCATCCCTTCCCCTCCCCCTCAAAAAAATAAGAATGACCATATTATTTTTGGATGAGGTCTCAAGAGAATTTTATGAAGAGTCTTGATCACACGGCTGTAGCTGGGTGGGAGACTTCTACTGTCAGTATATTAAGAGCTCAGAGAATGTCTGCAGTGCTCTCAATGAAAAACCTACTTACCCCAAGGTAGGCAATGACTGAGAGTTACTGTAGATAGGGTCGTCACTGTCTGTTGACAGAAGTTCACATGCCAGTCATCATGTTTTCTCATTAAATGCTAAAAGCCAAATTGTTTTTATTGCAAAAATCTTCCAGATGCAATAGCTGAAATTTTTTTCTAAGAAATCCCTAGTCATTGTTCAATTGCTTGTAGCGATGCTATTTTATTTTATGTAAAATGACAGGTTTGAGATGGTTGCCTAAAGCTTGGCTCATAAGCTTTTGTGGGAAATTGTTGATTCTAGGCAGTGTCTTTGCAAGAGAATTGCTGTCAGGAAAGGAATACATTTTAATAGTTACTGGCAAATAATGATCTAGTTAAAAACAAACAAGCAAATAAATAAAGGTGACCTTATAGAGTCTTTCATTTCCATGTCATAGAGAAAAATCTTGTCACTATAGTACTGACAGCAAGAGCCATTTGGGGAGGAACAGGGACGTTTCCGAAGGAAGAAAAAAAAATGAACATGAAGGGTAAAGCAGGACATATTGTGAGCTGCAGGAGTAGCCATGCATTGCATGCTCCATCACAGTCATTTAAAAAATTTCCTGCATAGTATTTTATATTGTAAAAGGATGACAGGGAGGAGCAGCTGTGAGTTGTTTGTATTTATTTTTATTTGTTTGGGTCCTCAGACTTTTTATTAATGACCTGTAGGATCTGGACTTTTTTCTATGTTTAACTTCATCTCTCTGTTGCTGAATTCATTGTGGGTAATGGCCTGTATACCCTTAGAGGTTCAGGATGTATGATGGGTAGCAGGCAGGAAGGGCAGGCCTATGAGAAAGAGCTTGTACAAACTAATACCACCCCTGGGAGAACTGAAATGACAGCCCATTAGCTCCTCTTGCAGGGAAATTCAGCCAACCAAAGTAAGCTCTTCTGGAGTGTTGTTTTTTTCTTTTTTCCTTATATTTCTAAATATTTGAACAAGTTATACAAATATTACCTCTATAAGCATCCCTTGCCCATTTTGTAGGCCTTTTGGTAGCATTGTAGGCCTTTTTGGTAAATAATTTGCTTGACCTTTTATTTTCCAGACAGCACCTGGGGTACATAAAAGATTTTTCCGGAAAATAAAAAACCTCATTTCAGCATTTCAAAAGCCAGATCAAGGCATTGTAATACCTCTGCAGTATCCAGTTGAGAAGTCCTCAGCACGAAGTACACAAGGAACTACAGGTATGTTTTCCCCCCACAGATTATTCTTCACAGAGTTTGAAGGCTCAAGGTTAAGAGCCAATCTTGTCATAAACATACAATCAACTGAAAGATCTGTAAGAAAATGTAAAAACAAGGTAGGTGCAGCCAAACATCAAGTGAGAGTTGATTATTTATATGCTATAACTTCAATATCCTACACTATAAGCTTTAAATGACACTGCAGACATATGAAAAATATTTGAAGTTCTTTTGTTCTATCTTGTTCTCTCCACTCATTGCTGTAGGTTATAAACACTATTTCACATCACTAATTCAGACACTTTTTTTCTCCTTCAGGGACATAAGGGCTAATGCTAGCTTACTTCATGTGACTCTGATTTCTGAATTGATGGTGCTTGAATGAATGAGTTTTTATTATAGCGAAAGAATTAAAACAGCAAACTTTATTGTTCCACAGACACAAATTATTCTATCTCCTGAGCAAAGATCTTTTATTTTATGCATCATGCTAAAGATTGAAGCCTCAGGCTCATATTGGTAATCTTAGTTACTCAAGGAGATTGAAAGTGGAAAGACTAAATTTTGAGGCTAACCCAGGGAGAAAAGTTTAAGAGAACTTATCTAAAAAATAGCCACCAAAAATCAGGGCTGGAGATATGCCTTAAGTAGTAGAGGGACAATCTAGCAATTGTGAGGCCCTAAGTACCACACTCAAAAAAGAAAACCAGCCAGTATCTATAGGTATTGTTTACTCTACTGTTGAATTAATCATTTGTTTGAGAGGCTATGTCTTGATAGAAATAATTGATATTTATAATAAGAGAAAATGATTTTTAACATCCTTTTTGACAGAGTCCTAGGCTCAGGCATAAACTTGAATCTGATTCAAGTGATGAATTAAATTAACAAATAGCTATCTTTTATAAAAGTGAAGATAACTCCAATTTACAAATTAGTTGATTTTTCTCCTCTTCACAGTATTCCATTCCCTTCCCCCCCCCCCCCCCCCCAGGGCTTGAGCTCTAGGCCTGGGTTCTGTCTCTGACCTCTTCAGCTCAAGGTGAACACTTTACCACTTGAGCCACAGCACCACTTCTGGGTTTCTGGTGGTTCATTGGAGATCAGAGTCTCATGGACTTTCCTGCCTGGGCTGGCTTTGAACAGCGATCTTCAGATCTCAGCCTCCTGTGTAGCTAGGATTACAAGGTGTGAGCCACCAGCGTCCAGCAGTATTCCGTTCTTTATAACTCAGTTCTAAATAGTTAATTGATGTATATAATTGGGTTGTATTATGAGTTTCATACAACTAGAAAATTTACAGGTTTTAGTTAATCTGTAATTTTACTTTATAAATTTATCTTTTCTTAATTTTTATTATTCTTTTCTTTTAGGGAGAAGAGAGTCTGATGTCTGCTTGAAAACTCCATGAAGAAAAATAAAACACTTTACTGTCAATAATTTAAATATAGATTAAGTCTTGTATGTTGTAGATGATATAGTTCAGTGAGCCACAAATGCGTTTCTAGTTCCATCATAGTCCTATGATGGAAGCATCTAGCCTGATGTTTAAGCTGAAATGGACCTTGTAGATAATGAAGTGCTTTGAAATAGGATAGAGAAAAATGATTCCTTAGGTTATTTTTAGTTATTATATTTTAAAAATAAGAGAGAAGTTAAAGCCTAGTGAGTACTTTATGAAAGATTAATGTCAATTCTTGCCAAACATAAATAAAACTAATCCTCAGCTTTAGTCAAAAAGACCACTTTTGAAAGGTGAGATATTCTGTGATAGTGATTTTTGAGTGTCTCTGATTGTAGGGTGGGAAGGTAGTTATAATGTGCAATGTTGCACTAGCTATGATGTGATAGGCTGTTTTGGGCTTTGAAACTGTATGCTTAAACAAGTGCTAGATAAATAATGAAGAAATCCAGTTGAAATATGAAAGAAACTTACTTGTCTAGAATTCTAGTTTTGGACATAAGATATACAAACCAATCTGGAGCTTAAAGTCCTATAATTTAAGATGTTCTAAATGTTTGTTCTATTTGATACTACAGATGAGTGGTCTGATGAAGTGGACTTTTCTTCTTTTCATTTATCTGTGTCCCAGTTGTTCCTATTACCTGTAAAATCTCATTTGGAAGGGAATTGTGAAACCACTGGAAAGTTTATCTTTACATTAATTAATTATAATTTTTCTGAAACTTAAATGAGAGTCCAAATTTTATACAGCATTTTCTCTTCACTGCTATATTGTCATCACTTGTTGAGTGATTACATGCCAACCTGCTTCAGGCCTTCCAGAATTCATTTATTCATTCAACAATGTAATAGGTTGCTGGGAATAGAGAAGTAAAAGCACTTGTTAGCTGCTCTTAAGTAGTTCACCATACATTTGGACAAGAAACCCCAACAACAATAAAAACAATATAAGGAAAGGACAAAAATAACTATAAAAGTTTATAAGTATGTAAGTGAGGTTTCCAATATGTCTTTAGAAACAGTTGAGTTGATGCAAATACTCTGGTCTATGTTATATAGGAAAAGACTATATTGGACTGTAAACTAATATGTTAAAAATCTGGGCTGTACATTAATCTGGGGGCTTGGTTAATAATTAGTGAATTCCTAACAGACATAGTTACTCTTTGTCCCTTGAGCATTTAATATGGATAGCAGAGAAGTGCAAAGGTGGAGTATAAACACTAGTACAGTGTAGGCAGTTCCCAATTTCTTGAAGTAATAAGCACCACTTGTAAAGGAATTCAGAAACCTAATTTCAAATTAAAATGCCCACAAATAAATAATTTTACTGCCTCTAATTTGTTAATTCTGAAACAATACTACATATATGAATGATGTCTGCATGTTCCTTTATGAAAGTCCTTTTTTGAAGAAAGCTTTCTGCTATCACACTTTAAAAAAGTATCTGAAAACTTTATCAAACTACTTTTGTTTTAGTATATCCATCTAAAATGTTTAAAGAGGTGCAAGTCATCAAACTGAAGCATGATAAAGGTTTTTAAACCAATTTCCTAGAAAAGGCAAGTATTTTTCTGATTTAGGTATGATCAAACTTCCCAGTTGATGAACATACTTCCACCCTCTTTGGCTTTACTTTTATTCATCAAATTTACTGCATTTTTTACTTCCCAATGTGATCATCTTTTTTAGTTTCCAGTATATAATAGACTACACTTTTACAGAAATATCATATCCTGGCTGTATCTAAAATATTTCCATATTAACATGTACATGTGGAGTCAAAGTAGAAAAATGTATATATAATTCTAAGTGTGTCCTTCTCTTTAGGGAAAAAAGTATGTCAGCAAGTCCACAGCTTATGAAATACCTGTTCATTTCCTCTGAAATTTGTTCTTAAGAGATAAGATAATTGTCTGCTTAGATAATTTCTGTTTAACTGTGACAGGCAAGAATGCTTGTGATAGTGAACAGGTAGAACAAATCTACAGAGAATTCCTCTGATTAAGTCATCTAGTACAAATAAAGGACTGCAATGAAGATATTCTTTGAAGTAGAATGCACAGAAAATTGTAAAAAATGTGAGAAGCCGTTTATAATCTTGTTAAGGATGTTTCACTATTTACTGACCTCTTATGTGATTCATGTTGTTAGCTCAGAAACCAAAATCTATTCATAATAAAACTCAAGTTTGCCCTTGAGCATTTCAAGGTTACAGGATGCTTAGTTTTCCTGTTCGGGTGCTATAAATTTGAACATTTTTTTACCTATGTTTGCACTTGTAGTTAGTGGGAATCCATTAATTTTCAACCTGAAGCTGGGGGTGAAGTTAAACTACCTCATTTGGACACTTTTATAATTTAGGGTCATTGGCCAAACATGTAGTAAAAAGCAGAATTTTTTTTCATTAGGTCATTTGGAGATTTATGTAGAAAAGTATAACAAACATGATCAAATGGATAGTGCCCATACATACATACACACATGAGCGTGTGCACACATGCGCGCACACACACCCACACCCACACCCACCCCTTGATTGCTCCTCCTATCCCAAGATTGAATTGATTTTTTATAACATGATAGAAGTTGGTATCATATTCAGTGTTAAAGCAAGAGTACATGAGACCTGACATTTCCTTTCAGTTTTGCCAATGATTATCTTTGTGAACTTATATAAGACAGTTTGTTACTCTTATCGTGTTTTTCAAGTAGGAATACTGAAGTCTTGTTTACCCTCAAAGGATTATTGTATTACCAGAATCATAACCTTAAAATGGTAATATTATTAAATGTTTGATGGTGTTGATATTTGAAGATCTCTACAATCTACAGTAAATAGGGAAGGTACACAGAAACAGCTCTTATTTTCCTTTAGTGATTGCTGTGTAATAGGAATAAAAACTCCTATCTTTTTATTTTAACTCTGAGGGTCAATGGGGAATGCATAGTTTGAAATATTCCCAAGTGATTATAATAATAACCCTCCATTTTGCTGATGAGATGTATTGATACCAAGATTATCTTCTGCTCCATAATCTTTTCAGCTGTCTTTGTACATGTGTGCCTCTGTGTGTGTATGCATATGTGTGATGCCATACATATGATATTACATATACATATTATTGATTAGAAAAGCAGCAGGGCATTTTGAAGTGATATAAATTCCAAGTTTCAGTCAAGGGTAGTTTGGAGTATATATGCCACATTATTATCTAGTTGAATTTTTCAAGATCTGTTGGCCAGCTTTTCCAGTGTCACTTGGAAATATCTTCTAGTGGAAAGTGAGTGATAAATGGCAATTGCAATGACTTGTAGTGTAGGGCCTCTGAAGAGCTTACTGTTTTTTTTTTTTCTTTCTTGGTCTGTCATGATTTCTATCTCCAACTCTCGTATCCATTTTTTGCCAATCATCTGGGTGTTCTTTTCTCCTAGCTCTCTCTCACTACCCACTCCCCCTTCTATTTTTCTTTATTGCTGCGAAAGGCATCAAAATGAAACCTATTAAAATGTCATAACGTGGATGCATTTAAATCCACAGTAGCTACCCTTCTTTGTTTATTAAGTAGTCATTTATGTCATAGATCCTATTTGTATGAAAATAAAAATGAACAGAATTTTGCTTCAAATTCATGCCTTTTGGATTTTTGTACCTACATTTTCAAGATGATGTGGTGTTTTTTATTTACCCTACCTATCTCAGGTGACCAGATGGACTCAGCAATGCAGTTTGGCGCATGAATAAAATGGGACACAGGGCTCATTTGCAGTTTTATTTTTTAAAAATGAAATATTCAAAGTACTTTTCTTTCAAATATCGACACATAATGTTTAACTTTAAATATTTACAGCATGTTGTTGTGATGCTCTTGTAGAAAAATGCATGCTTCTGGCCTGAAAGCCAGAGCAAAATGCAAAAGACCATTTAACTGCAGCCAGAGAACATGAACCTGTACAGTATCCAGTCACTTTCAGCACAGGAGTGAGAGCAGGAATACAAAATTGGAACCTATTGTTTCCTAGCAACATGGCTCAGGCCATTGTAACACAATTTTCAGTATGATTAGAACCTCTAACTGTTGTTATATAGAAACTGAAAATCTTGGCATACATTGTAAACATCTTTACTTTTCATGAGAAAGTAAGCAGCTAAAAAGAATACTTTTCTGACGTAAAGGCTATACTTCTCTTTTTCACCTTCTCTCTTACTGATACTTTCACCAGAAGAATAGTAAAGATTTAGACATTGCCATGATTCATACAAGTAAAATATTTTTTCAAGGACACAATCTGATATACTAACATTTATTTAAGAGGTTAAACTCCACCACTACATCTAAGGAAAGATTTTTTTTTTTTTACTGCCAAACACATTTCCTTTGACAAATACGTAAGGTGACAACTGCCAAGACAAAATCCACAGCAAGTTTAACTCTAAGCATTTTTAGTTACTGTTTAGGAAGTAATTTCTTCTTACACACAGTAGTATATTTGGTCCTTAATAGCTTTCACATGAAGGACACAGTGAAATAATAGTCACTATTTTGTGGTTGAATGTTTTTTGTTGTTTTGTTTTTTGTTTATGTTTTACTGTTTGTCATTTTTTTCTTTTTTTTTTTTTTTTTTTTGGTTTGGTTTTCTTTGCAGAATAAAGAACCTTACAGAAAGCTGTGGAAAAGCAGTCTGAAATCTGAAGTAGCAGTAGTCAGGTCAGCTTTGTGTATGTGAGTTCTTCCAAGAAAACAAAAATGTTACATCCAGTCTGTAGCCTTATGCTTTCCCACAAGATCCAATACTGTCCAATCTTTCCAAAATTTTCTTTAATAACTGATTACTGTACCTTTCCTTCCATCACCATTAATCTCTATTAAATTGTTTTTAACATAAACATGCTTTTTTAAATGTAAAACTTTGCCCTTACTCTCTCAGGTGATATTACAGTGGGGCCTGGTCTGATTTAAAAACAAAATAAAGGAAAGGAAGAAAAAAAAGAAAAGTAGAAATCAGTCATGAAAAAGTCTTATTAAAAAGTATAACTTAATTTTAAATCTGTCTATGTAGGTAGCATGTGAATTCCAAATTATACATTGTCAAGTTTTCATACATTTGGCTATGTTGTATACATTATATTATATATATGTAGTTTATATATTATAGATCTTCTAGATAAGTTGACAGTAAATGACACACTTATTTATACATCATTTTTCTTGGGTTTAAAATAAAACATATACTTCTTTCTATGGTAAATGTTTGGCTGAAAGTATGAGTTGAATTTTATTTTCCTTTCCTTCAGGACTCATGCTTATGATGAATAACAATTAGAATGAGAACTAAAAATAAATGCATTTAAATATCTCTTCAACTTTGAACTTTTTAGTTCATTTGGATTTCTAGACAGTAGTGCAAGAGGAAAATTAAAACAAAAACCAAAAAAGTGCAAATGAATTGGGCCTCAGGAAAGAAGCAATTAGAGAATTCCCTGCCTCCATCCCAGCATTCTCTTCAAGTAAGAGTCCAATTAATGTGCTCTCATGTTGACTTATTTGAATGGTGGCTATGCAGTGTCAGCCACCTGTCTTCTGGGTGTGAGAAATACATATATTTCTCTTAAAGTTGTTTTGCTTTCATCAGGAAATACAAATGAATATTTTTCCCCTTAATTTAAGCTTAAGAAATAAAAGTCAGTGAAGGCATTCCTTCTATCCTGCTGAATAGGACATTATCTACTCAATTATCTTCATGTTCTTATTAAGAAATTCCAAAATGTTTCTTTTAGATTTACTACTTGTAAGTGCTAAACTTTTGGGTTATTTTTCTTTCCTCCCCCAAACTTTGGGAGTTTTAAAGAGAGTAATAATTCAAGGCAGTATTAAACCACAGTTGTAAGTGATTAAAAGTGCATTTCCTGAATATAATACAAATATAATGTTAAGAAACTAAAGGCACAAACTAACTAAATATGTATTACAAACTAGAAATGCACAGTACAAGATAATTACTATTAAGTAAAAAGCTCCAAATATTTTTTTCTAATGATATTTAAAGCAGTTTGAAAATGATACATCATCAACAAATTGCAAAAAAGTATAATCACTTAAAAAAACTAAAATAGACTCTAATATTGACATCTTGGATTAGAGATAAAATACATCATCACACTTAATGAACTCTTTATATACAGTTAACAAATTATTTTCTCACTGATTTTTAAGAACATCAGAAGGTCTAGGAAATTAAGGTTTATTTTTAGGTTAGTGTGGAGGTATTCAAATTCTCAGCAAGTTTGTGAGTGATTTCAGATTTCCAACTTGGATAAATGCTGTACAGAAAACAGAGGTCTGATTCAGGAAAAACTCAACGATATGATTTTATTCTGGGTTATCGATATCTTGAGCTGGTGTGCTTCCAAATACAGAAATGAGTTCACCATGAATTTCTCTCTCCCTGTCTCTCTGTCTCTCTGTCTCTTTCTTTCTCCCTCTTCATATATAAGAATGAAATAGTCCCAATCTGAAAATTTTAAAAATGAAATGTTTGAGAATACCCTCCCTACTGTCTTCCCCCTTTCCTCACATTCTTCTTTAGGAGATAAAAACAGACTCCTTAAAAAACTTAACACAAGTCAGGATTCTGATTTTACATATTTCCAGTGAAACTGTCATCACTAAGCAAGGCAGTGACCCCATACTGCATTTAGGTAGTAGCTGGAAAAAATCCAAACAAACATTCCATCATAAATTCTCCTTCAGACAGCACATGTTCTGACTGGGTGATGAAAGAGCAGAAGCTGGCTCAGGGGAATTATCTATTGGGCACATTGTTGTAAGTTACAATTACACAGCTTTTTACAAACTATCTCTTTTTCACAGGGCACAAATCCCCCAGCACACTTAAGAACTTCTTTTACTGCAGGAGTCAGACAGATTGAGAAAATACAGTTGTTACTCACACCAATCTTGATCTAGCTCTAAACTTTAAATGATCATAGAACAAATAATCCACCTGGGAAATAACATTTTCCTTGACAAAGACATGACTAAATAAAAATAAATGGAGTAAAGAAAATGAAATAATTATAGAAATTTGGATTTGTAAAAACTCATCTGCCTCTATGTAATTTGTTGAAATGTTTTAGGTTGAAAAGGGTTCACTTAATTCAATTTTCTGAATATGTCTGAGAGAGGTTCAGTACAGAATGGGACATTTGAAAGATGAAACTAAGTGGGATGAAATAATATGGTAATAACTGCTGTTAAATTTTGTTTGATTTTCCCTTTGGTACTTTCACTATTCTTTAAGGTTTGAGCTCTTATAAATTTCTGCAGTAGTAGTTAATGTATTTATCAGCATCCCAGGCCCTTGTGCCTACTAAAGCCTCTTTTTATGTGCCACGATCATACACTTTAGCAAACTACCTTTCATGTGCACAAAACCATTGAATTAGTGTATAAATACTGAATCACTAAGGTGAAACTATGACCAAAACACACTCTATATATAAATGAGAAATTCCTACCCAGGTTAATAAAATCTATGTTTACACGACACCAATGCAGCTGGGCCATTTGATTAAACACTGAGTCAAACAAGTCATGTGAAAGAGGTCACATTTGCCAGCTGTTTTGGTATCATGCCCACACAAGCAAATAGTGGCTCTTCAGGCTACTTGCCACACCCACAGAGAGGCATGGAAGACAGAATCTAGCCACCACACGCCAAAACACAGCACAACAACATGGCATTTACTTTAACAAGCAAGGAGGAATAACCGGGGAAGGAGGGAAATGGGTCCTGATTCTAGGAGATGGTGTCTGAGGACATTTTACAATTCTTTGTAAGTTTCCTATAACAGATCTGGAAAATGTGAAAGGGCTGGCAGTCTTTCAAGATGTAAGTAAGGTTCAGATACTATTGCACCACCTTTTCCAGAGGCTCGCAAGTCCTGCCAATAGTTAGATATGAAACTTGATGTCACAATAGAGATAGAGAACATTGTGTTCTTCCTGTATAGTTGAACATATGCATGGCTTGACAAATTTAATGTGGTGCTTCCAGAAAACATTGTTTAGCTGTTGGAGTTCAGCTTGTGTTCTTTTGAATACTGCCACACAAGAACTAAAAATCTCTGTCATTTCTTAAAGAGTTTAAACAAACAATATTAAAATACCATCTTCCGTCACATTGAAAGGCAGTTGGATATGTTTTTCCTCCATATTTACATTTACAGAGTTCTGATCTAGAAAACCAATACAACAAACCATTTCATGTTTTTAAAAACAGGCAGTCTTTGGTGACGCAAAGGCAGAGATTTTTTTTGTTACCTCCTGCCTATTTCGCTCTGTCTCATAAAGTGAATATTGTTGGCACTGTCAGAAAGTTCTAAATACTGCTCAACAGACAACACAAAGTATCCATCATAACCTGGTACCCTTCCAGTGCTCAAAAGCTGCTGCTTTTCCCCCTCTGTCCATGCCCAAATCCCCTCCTCCCCTTCTTGCAGCCTTCTCTGTTCCTTAGTCCAGGCCTGGGCCACAGCACGTTGTCTGGCAATCTCCAATACGTGATTCTTTTCCTCTTCGACAGTCGTCCCATACCGGATGTTGAAGCATAGGGCTCCATGCTGCAG